GTGCTTTACTTGACCACGTGCTTGTTTATGTAAGTAAGCGGATTTTTCTAACTGGTCTCATTTACTCTATCGACGTAATTCTGGTTTCTATTACATTACATCGTTTAATTAGTTATGGGTAGGCAGATTTTTCTTATTGGTTTACTAAGTTTCAAGCTTTTATATAATTTCTGAGGATTATGTATTACTTGCATATTTCATTTACATTTAGTGCTGAAATATTTGAGGTCCATAGAAGTGTCAAATTTTTAAATCTTGTTTCATAAATTTCTTAAGCAATTTTGTTCTAATATTTTTATGTTTTCAATAAAAATTTTGAAGTACAGAAATTCAGACATTTGACTACTACAAAATTTGGAGATTTACAAACTTAACAATTTAGAATATTTATTGATCAGCTCAGAGATATCAAACTACACTCAAATTGGGTTGTTAACCGAAGCAAAATTGTAACTGACCACTACGATAACCTTAATGATAAAGAAATACACGAAGTACAAAAAAATTCTACTGACTATATATCTCAATATGTATACAGGGTGTTCAGAGATTTACTAGCCAGCGTTTTTCTCGCAAACGACTGATACGAGACAAAAATAAAAGAGGAAAAAATGATAAACACGAAAAATTTATATACTTCGTTATGTTGATTATAAAAAACCTTTTCCTCTTTCATTTTTTTCTCGTACCAGTCGTTTACGACAAAAACGCTGGCTAGTAAATCTCTGAACACCCTGTATAGTCACCTGCATCTTGCATTACAATATCCTTTCTATAGTGCCATAATCACCTACATTTTGTTACCATAGTAACAAGACCATCCGAGTTCGACAACCGAGGCAGATCTAAAAGTATGCAAAGACACCTCGACACCTGAAGAAGCCTCAGAAAACATTCAAATCGATCTAAAAACAAACCCGTTAGAACCGCTACATCGCATAACCACATAACCTCTCCTGAAGAGAAGAGGTTAAATAAGAAGAGGTTACGTTCGAAACATGAGTGGAAACGGAAAGTGGTATTTCAGCTACTCTTTCTTGTCGAGGCAGCAATGTAGACATTTTCCACGAAGAAGGAAATTCTACAACTTGGTTTTATATCGAGTCGAAGGATCGAATGTACCAAAGGTAGCTACGCCTATGACGTTGCCCAGTACCGGTCAGAGTGAAATTGCAACGTACGACTCGCAATTAGATTTCTAGTTCAAATGGTGGTCGTTCACCCGTGGAATCGACTCGTTCTCGAAAGGGAACGAGTGTTCCGGGAAATGGACAACGGAAATCTCGACTTCGGATTGTCACGGAAATCTTGGACCTTCCATTTCTACATGAAAGGATGAGAGAGTGATGCTAATTACTGATGGCTAATGACACATTCCAGCTCTTTGCTTCCACCACTTCTAAACTAACTTAACGTTATGGAAAACAAGCAAAAGTAAACGTCTTCGTAAATCAACACAGGGTTGAGATTATATCACTTGACTTCAGAAGTCAAACTAACCCACTGCTGTAATTTAATGAGTAACCTAACTCAATCTTAATATAATTAACCTAACTTAACATTATGGAAAAACAAGCAGAAAGAAACGTCTTCATAAATCAACACACGATTGAGATTATAGCACTTGACTTCAGAAGTCAAACTAACCCCCTGCTGTTATTTAATGAGTAACCTAACTTAGCATTAACATAACTAACCTAACTTAATATTATGGAAAAACAAGCAAAAGGAAACGTCTTTATAAATCAACGCACGATTGAGATTATAGCACTTGACTTCAGAAGTCAAACTAACCCCCTGCTGTTATTTAATGAGTAACCTAACTTAGCCTTAACATAACTAACCTTACTTAACGTTATGGGAAAACAAGCAGAAAGAAACGTCTTCATAAATCAACACACGATTGAGATTATAGCACTTGACTTCAGAAGTCAAACTAACCCCTTGCTGTAATTTGACGAGTAACCTAACTTAATCTTAATATAATTAACCTAACTTAACGTTATGGGAAAACACGCAGAAAGAAACGTCTTCATAAATCAACACACGATTAAAATAATAGCACTTGACTTCAAAAGTCAAACTAACCCCTTGCTGTAATTTGACGAGTCACTCGTGACGCACTCACAGTTCAAATATGACAAACCCTATTGAAATTTGTGATATTCTTCTACCTTAAATTTAGATCCAACTATAATATATGTAGTCAGAGATTGCTAAATATAAAATACCACATTTTAATTTTCTTTATTTGTTTTAATATTGTAGCTATATTAATATTAATATTGTAGGCAAGGGGTTAATGTACCTAAATGATCAAAGTCAGATTTAATTGCACTGAAACTAGTCCTTCAAAGTGAAGTTTGACCCACCCTATTTTGTCAAAGCAGAAATTAGTATTTCAAAGTGAAGTTTAACCAACCCTATTTTGTCAAAGCAGAAATTAGTATTTCAAAGTGAAGTTTAACCAACCCTATTTTGTCAAAGCATTTTGTCAAAGCAGAAATTAGTATTTCAAAGTGAAGTTTAACCAACCCTATTTTGTCAAAGCAAAAGTAGTCCTCCTAAGTGAAGTTTAATTGTACCAACCCTATTCTGTCAAAGTATAATTATATTGGACTTAACTGAACAAAGTCAAGTTTAATTGTACTGAACCTTTGAAAGGTAAATTGAATGTCAGACTGAAAGTGAAATCGTAACGTTCGAAGCTAACCATTCAACGTCAATTTTAGCCTAACCTAAAATCTACCCTTGCTTAAAAGGTTACTCTGAACAAACGTGAGATTGAATTTTAATCTAACCTTAGATCTAATCTATTTTTACTTCATTGAGATCTAATCGTGTCTTTACTTCATTGAGTTAATGTCATTTTCATTGACTCAGACGAAGAAAAACAGTGAAAACGTATAAGAAAAAAAAATATTTCAGATCTCACAAGCGATGCTATGAAACACTGAAGTCTCGCATGAGATTCACTGCTCCAGTTTAAAATAGAAAAAGAAAAAGTCCGAGTACAATAATAATTCCAGGCTTCCGTTACAAAATTACGTTCTCACTAGTACAACTGCTATCAGTTTCGTAGTAACGGGATCGCAGAGAAGAGCACCAATGAAACGTACAGGGAACCGGTCAGCAGGATCGTAGGAAATCGTGTCATGCTGTCTTGCGTTAGAGAGAAAGACCGGTTAGAGAATTGTAGCAGGAAGTGAGTGTCTGAATGAAGAACCTTGCAAGGACATTTCCGTCAGGAATATCAGAACTAAAAAAAATAAAAAGGATCCTCTATCTAGACCTGTCATAAATCTCGTTGATCGATTAGCGTCTAGTTTCTAATTATCTGCGGAACTTATTACAACAATCTACTTCCTTCAGAAAGTAATTTGCTGTTGATAAAAATCGGCGGAACCTGCTGGAGAAAATTTGCTCTTTCACGTTCGTTGTATACAGGATGGCGAAACGAAACGATTTGTTATTATGCATATTTTATTTATTATGTAAGGTTCGATTTTTAAGTAATGTGCAAGTTTGAATTGCTTATGAAATTATTATTATTTTTTGTAAGTTAAGTTAGGTCATTATTATTAGCCAGGACTGTTTAAATTATATTATTAATGTTATTAATGAATTAATATACACATATGATGTTACTAACTTAATGTACACATGTGCTGTTACTACATTAATGTACACATATGATGTTACTAACTTAATGTACACATATACTGTTACTAAATTAATGTACACATATGCTGTTACTAAATTAATGTACATATATGCTGTTACTAAATTAATGTACACATATGATGTTACTAACTTAATGTACACATGTGCTGTTACTAAGTTAATGTACACATATGCTGTTACTAAATTAATGTACATATATGCTGTTACTAAATTAATGTACACATATGCTGTTACTAACTTAATGTACACATATGCTGTTACTAAGTTAATGTACACATATGCTGTTACTAACTTAACGTACACATATGCTGTTACTAAATTAATGTACACATATGCTGTTACTACATTAATGTACACATATGCTGTTACTAAATTAATGTACACATATGCTGTTACTAACTTAATGTACACATATGCTGTTACTACATTAATGTACACATATGCTGTTATTAACTTAATGTACACATATGCTGTTACTACATTAATGTACACATATGCTGTTACTAACTTAATGTACACATATGATGTTACTAACTTAATGTACACATATGCTGTTACTAAATTAATGTACACATATGCTGTTACTAACTTAATGTACACATAAGCTGTTACTAAATTAATGTACACATGCTGTTACTGACTTAATGTACACATATGCTGTTACTAAATTAATGTACACAGTACTTTACTATGGTCAATAGTATACAATGTACTGTACATTATAGTATAGTCTATGAATACAGTACTAGCCTACATATACACATATGTACACATATATACACATACATGTATATACACATATATTATGCTATACAGGTGTTGCAGTCAATTTTTAAAAACAATATCAACTTCCTTACACATTACATAGTGTCATAATGCATGCATGATGATGCACATTGCATGTTCTTATCAGTGTAGACAGTTCAGAGATTTCAAGATCAACTCCACTGATTCCAACATAATTTTATATTTTTTGTACAGTGAATAAATAAGAATACCTTCATCAGTCCTACAGCTAATGATTAACACTAATAGTTAATAGTAAAGTTAGTAGAGTACTTCCACCCTGTTTCTCCACCTTGAAATCTCCAAAATGCCTCCATCTAAAAAGAAGAATATTTCACCCCTCTGACTCATAAAACTTTCCTACAAACTTCCTACTAACAATAAGTTTCCTACTTCTTTTCTACAACGTACACATTACAAGTTCCATATGTGTAAGATGAGCCACCCTATATATAATACATAAGAAAGTAAAATTGTACAACTCCATAAACCAGCAAAAGTGAAAGTAACTAAAGTCCAAAAATTCTTACCAACGATCAATCAGCTTCCGAACAATATCACGTCACACCATCATAATCGAAATTGTCCGTCGATCTGTCCCGATATTTTTTGTGTACAAAAATATTGAAATTGACGAAGGATCCACGAGAGTAGGTATATGTAACGAACGTTACTAGCGGAGATCAGTGTGCATGTGTATACGTGAATATGTACAGATGCAGGAAACACGTTTCTCGATCTTACGCGATCCGATGTTTCTGATGGACTGAGTTGCCGATTTGATCGAGCCACAACGCTGTTACTTTCTACCAAGCCAGAGTAGGAAAAGTTGCAAGAAGTGGGGTATTAAACGATAACCAAACTGTATATTAACGAGTCGTCGAATTTTTAACTTGATACCAATTTACCACATATTTACGTCATCGTACCCTGAATGCGTTTGATAAACAATAACCTGCTGCACGGAATGAGATACTGTGACAATTTGCATAATCACTGTTTTAGTGACGAAGTGCAAACTTGTTTGTAATCGAAAATTTGGGATAATTTTTATGAAATTGGGCGGTTCCATAATTGCCCGGTTCCATAATTCCCTAATTCTATAACTTCCCAATTCCACAATTTCAGGATTCCATAATTTTCCAATTCCATAACTCCCCAATTCCTTAATTCTCTAATTCCATAATTCCCAATTCCACAATTTCCTAATTCCATAACTCCCCAACTCCAAAATTTTCAATTCCCGAAATTCCCAATTCCCTAATTCCCCGATTCCATAATTCCCCAATTCCAAAGCTCCCCAATTCCAAAATTCCCCAATTCCAAAGCTCCCCAATTCCAAAATTCCTCAATTCCAAAGCACCCCAATTCCAAAATTCCCTAATTCCAAAGTTTCCCAATTCCAAAGCTTCCCAATTCCAAAGCTTCCCAATTCCAAAGTTTCCCAATTCCAAAGCTCCCCAATTCCAAAATTCCCCAATTCCAAAGCTCCCCAATTCCAAAATTCCCTAATTCCAAAGCTTCCCAATTCCAAAGCTTCCCAATTCCAAAGCTCCCCAATTCCCTAATTCCCCCATTCCAAAATTTTCAATTCCCAAAATTCCCAATTCCCTAATTTCCCAATTTCAAATTTCTCAATTCCATAATTCCCCGATTCTATAATTCCCCAATCCCCTAACTCCCTAATTCCTTAATTCCTCCATTCCTAAATTCCCGAGAAAACTAGATTAAGATAATTAGAATAAATTATAGATAATTAAGGTTAGATAGTTAAGATATACGCTTGTTACATCGCCACTAGAAGTAAACTTTATAATTACAAGTTCCGAGAACTCTCTTCCATAAGTCTATCCTGAACGACGTAAAAGCTATCAATGTATTAATCCACATTGACGTTTTACATCGTTGCTCAATAACAATAACTGGACACAGCAAATCATCTACTAAATCGACTTTATAGCATCGAATTTAGTCACGAAATGGATTTGCCAATATTACTGATGAGGTTACATAAACTTCACGTGTCTTCTTATTCCCACAAATTCCCTATATCCTAATGTTTCAATAACGTCGTAGTAACGAATTATGGTCGAATACCGTCGTAAAGGAATGTAAAATGGCATCATAAAACGATGGAGTTATTTCGCATGGGTTAAGCGCGATTTAACACGATACCTGTATCGAAGATACTCTTCATTTCGTCTTATTTAAATCGTCTCTTTCAACAAGTTTGTTGAAGTATACACGTTATAGCAGCAAGAGTAAATATGCTCAAGGTCGCTGGAAGATCAGGTTGCTGTGAATCATTAAATTCTTGCTTCATCGTCAAACAGACGAAAAAGAGAAAACATTAAGGTTACCTAATTTCAATGATGACTTTCGTGGTGTTAGTGGCTTCCGCGTGTTGACAGTTTAAGAAAATTGCATTCGTCTTCGAGGTGACATGTGTACAACTACCAGTGGAGACTGCTTACCTCAATATCGTGAAGCTGTACTTCGACTAGGACATATAGTCAAAGCCTATATTATTATTTAACACTAGAACTACCGACACTAAATACACGTTTATCGAAGAATGAAAAATGAAATGAAAAGAGAAATAAATAAATAGTAATCAAGTAATATATAGAACTAGTCTTTACTTCAACAAAATATGACAGACATTTCCATAAAATCACGACAATAAAATTTTGTAATATAAAATGAAAAATCTGAAACCAGTCATTTTGACTGGTTGCTTGTTCTAGTGTTCATCTAGCCTGTGTTCACTTACTCTTCGGATATTTTTCCAGAACCTTGATAGACGTGTCGCAGTTCGAGAGAAAGGGTGAGGGAAAGAACGGAACTCTGTAAGGCCAAGTGAAAAATCTTGAGAACATTGTCTTGGCACGTGTTCTCCTCTTTTGAAACACTTTCGCGTTTGTAATTAAAAATAATATGGAACAGGAGTTTTTTTGAAACTTTTGTAAGAATCTTGTAAATATTGACACCTGAATAGAGTGACAAGTATAGTGTCTTTTCTAAAGTAAAATGATGTAAGGGATGAAAGTCTGATGCATTCTCACCAACCACAATAGATAGACTTCCTCGCGACTAATAATTTAATCGACCACTTATGAAACGCATTATCTCCTTATTACAATTAGTCAACCGTTTACGACTTGAAAATTTCATCAATGTTTATATAACTAAAAATTCGCGATATCAGCTGTTCGCTTTTACCCTTTCACGATTGTTTGCGAAAGAAAAAGAAAACACATTGCAAAATGCACTTGCGCTCTACTTCTTTTAGGCTTACACATTTTTACGCCTGGTGCGCAACAAAATGAAATTAATTACGAATTTATCGCATCCCTTCACGTTGTGCACAGAAAAAATCCACCTCATCGATCAGCTTAGACAATTGATCATAAATGAATCAAACAATAAATAGATTCATTTAAGGAATTAATTAAATCATTGTCCTTTAAACATATTTAAGTTCAAGTTGTTGTTTGAAAATTTTGAAGTTGTCTAAATTGTTGTGAGACAATTTTAAAATTGTCTGAATTATTATTTAATAATTTTGAAATAGTCTGAATCGCTGTAAGACAATTTTGAAGTTGTCTCAATTGCTGTTTGACAATTTTGAAGTTGTCTAAATTATTGTTTAACAATTTTGAAGTTGTCTAACTTGCTGTTTGATAATTTTTAAATTGTCCACACGACTATTTGACTATTGTAAAGTTGCCTAAACTACTCTTTAAAGATATTGAAGTTTAAATCTAGGTTGTCTAAATTGCTACCCAAAAATGTTAAAATCATTCAAATCGCAGTCACCATTTTAAAACGTATTAACCCCGTCCAAAACGTGTTAACATCGTCCTCCAAATAAACCATAAAGTTCGTAATCTTTTCTAATAGAAATCGCAGAGCGTTCATCTTTCGTCACACACGATTACTAATATTAATTAGAGTTGGCACGGGCAGCGAGTATTCGCAACGTTCGATTGCAAAATCGAAGGGAGAGAGCCGATCTTCAGAAGCAGTTAGTCTGTTACCAAACACCTGTTCCCCCCATTCGCCATTTTCCTTCCATCTTCGAGTCCCCGAAGACGAAAACTCGACGACAACGGAATTGCATCACAAAGTTCGAACGTTCAGAATCAGCGTGAAGCTGAGATCCGCTCGAACGATTCCACGCGTGACCAGCCGACCAGAAACTCGCTGACAAACGACGTTCTTAGCCAATCTCGATGTCGACCGTCGATCATGTCGACCGATTGTTTGACCGTTTAACGACTCTTGCGTATCCATTTATTCCGCTGATCCTAAAATACCGCAGTCGATGTAAATTTTCGAATGCTCAGTGTACTGCCATTTCACGAATGTCTTCGATAAAAATATACCACTTGATTGGCTATAAATTAACTCAAAAATATTCGGTGAGATATTCGACGTTTTAAAATGCCATATTTTTAAAACACCTGACATCCAGACGAATTAAATAACCTTGAATTTAATAATTTTGTCTGGCAGGTGTGGAAGATTTTATTTAAAACTCGTCAAATGTCCAAGCTTCTTGATATTTTAAAGTCAAACTTTTGACGTCAATACTTTTGACTTAAAGTCAAACTTTTGACTTAAAAATTATAAAGAATTTGAAGACAAAAAAAAATAGGTTGAAAGAAATAGAATCATTGGTATAAAACAATGTAAGCGACAATAAAGCGGTATGTTCGCGATGACCGCAATTGACTGCATCTTGCAATCAATTTTGAAATAATCTAAATCTTTATAAGACAATTTTGAAGTTGTCTGAATTGCTGTCTGTCAATTTTGAAAATGTCCAAATTATTGTTTAACAATTTTGAAGTTCCGTAAATTGCTGTTTGATAATTTTTAAATTGTCCACACGACTATTTGACTATTGTAAAGTTGCCTAAACTACTCTTTAAAGATATTGAAGTTTAAATCTAGGTTGTCTAAATTGCTACCCAAAAATGTTAAAATCATTCAAATCGCAGTCACCATTTTAAAACGTATTAACCCCGTCCAAAACGTGTTAACATCGTCCTCCAAATAAACCATAAAGTTCGTAATCTTTTCTAATAGAAATCGCAGAGCGTTCATCTTTCGTCACACACGATTACTAATATTAATTAGAGTTGGCACGGGCAGCGAGTATTCGCAACGTTCGATTGCAAAATCGAAGGGAGAGAGCCGATCTTCAGAAGCAGTTAGTCTGTTACCAAACACCTGTTCCCCCCATTCGCCATTTTCCTTCCATCTTCGAGTCCCCGAAGACGAAAACTCGACGACAACGGAATTGCATCACAAAGTTCGAACGTTCAGAATCAGCGTGAAGCTGAGATCCGCTCGAACGATTCCACGCGTGACCAGCCGACCAGAAACTCGCTGACAAACGACGTTCTTAGCCAATCTCGATGTCGACCGTCGATCATGTCGACCGATTGTTTGACCGTTTAACGACTCTTGCGTATCCATTTATTCCGCTGATCCTAAAATACCGCAGTCGATGTAAATTTTCGAATGCTCAGTGTACTGCCATTTCACGAATGTCTTCGATAAAAATATACCACTTGATTGGCTATAAATTAACTCAAAAATATTCGGTGAGATATTCGACGTTTTAAAATGCCATATTTTTAAAACACCTGACATCCAGACGAATTAAATAACCTTGAATTTAATAATTTTGTCTGGCAGGTGTGGAAGATTTTATTTAAAACTCGTCAAATGTCCAAGCTTCTTGATATTTTAAAGTCAAACTTTTGACGTC